GAGAGAGAGAGAGAGAGAGAGAGAGAGAGAGAGAGAGAGAGAGAGAAGGAAGGCAGGTCAAAGGTGAGGGCATAACTCAGTGTGAGGATCCTGAGCTCAATCCCAGTACTGTGGGGTGGACTGTGGGACACTTCCTTAGAAGATTCTGCTGTGCAGTGAGGGTTCAGCTGTGCTGATCTACTGCAGGTCACTTGTTTGTCTCCAAGGGAAACCAAGGCTCACCCAAGTGGACTGGCTTCTTGAAGCTGGTCAGCCTTTAGTTTTTTTTAACATTTGGTCTTGGGCTCCTGCAAAAGGACTCACAACTTAGTGGTGGCCTTTTATTTCATAAAGTTTTACTCTCCTCAGTTCCTTTTTCTATTTTTTTCAGCTCATGTGTGTACATGGACGCACACACACTCCCTTTGCTGTTTCCTCTTCCTCAGTGTTGCTCTGCACTGTCTCTCACGGGTCTGCTTGTTGCAGAAACCCAAAGACAGCTGGCGACTGATGGACCGAAACCGAACCCCGCAAAGCAGGACCAGGGCCAGTGAGTAACAAGAGAAACCCTTTAGTCCCTACTCTGGGTGTATGTCCAGGGCTTTGCTAACTAGAAAAACTATTGTTTTATTTTCTTTTGTGTTTCACAAGAATTCTAAAGACACTGCATAGAAATAAGAGTGATTTCCTAATTTACTTACATTTCACAATTTTGTAGGCTGGAACATATTTTATGCCAACATAATGAGACCAGCCTTCTTGCTTCGGAAGTTTCACTTGTGCACAGTTTCTGGCTCAGGTGGCGTCTCTGTGGGAGTTCATGAAAGGACAGGACAGAGATGGAAGGAGCTGGGCAACAGGTTGAGAGCAGACAGGCTGCGGGTCAGGTGGGCACTCTGGAATGTCTCTGAGAGGAAAATAGTCTGGCAGGTATTCTACTTGAGTTCATATTATAAAAGACCGAGCAGGTAACTTTATTTATTTATTTATTTATTTATTTATTTATTATTTTTATTTTTTTGTGCTGGAACTCAAATTCAGGACCTTGCACTTGCCTGGCAGGCACTTCTGCCACCCAACTGCACTTTGCTGATCCCTGATTTCCATCTGAGCCAATGAAAGAATGCTAGGCTGAGAGACAGGAGCACTGAGGAGGAAGCATTCAACTGCTGAGATTTGGGGGCCCACTGGTGACAGATCCAAAGTGTCACATGTAGTGTGCTAGTGTGCTAGTTTTCTCTATTCCTGTGATATACAAAAGGTTACCAGAGGCCTTTGCCACTGAATGTTCTCTGAAAATAAGAAAACTCTAGCAGAGTTAGACACTCACAGAGAACGGCAGTAGTCCAGTTAAAAACTACCATTCCGAGGTTCACAGACTTTCATCCCATAACAGGCTTTCAGATGTGAAAGGAGGTGAAGGATTTCTCACAGCTGCTATCCAGGCCTTGTCTCTAGGCTGCAGGCATTTCCTAGTGCCAGAGCATGCCCCCACAGAGGAGAGGAATTTAAATTAAACACAGCTTCCGGACCTCTTCTCAGTCTTCCTCTTGTTAAATTTGGGTTTCCAGAAAAAACTGCTGACAGCCCTACTTTCACATTCCAGTTTCAATTTCTAATTTCTGACGGCAAGGACAACCCCCACAGTGTCATTACTTGCTTATACAGCCTCCTTCTTGGAGTCTCCTTCACTTGAAAACCCTCAAGACAGGCTAGCTGGACCTGAACAGACTGCCTGCTGGATCACTGCGGAGCTGCGAGCCACTTCTCAGCCACCATGAGGTAAAGACTTTTTCCTCTTTGCCTGCATGTCTAAGGTTTGGGAAAAAGTGTTTCTCACTGCTCTCTGGAATGTTTCTTCTCCACGATGTCAGGCTTCCCCACTCTTTTATGTGAGTGCTTGCTAATGGACTGAATGTGTGAGAATGCAAATGTGTTTGTGTACTCAGAGGCACTGTCGCATCTTAATTTTTGTTAGCCTAAGCCTAAAGAAACTTCTCTTGCCCAAAAAAGGGGAAGGAAGGGGAGAGTGAGTATTACAGAAATGGAAGACATGCTGCCAGTTTCAGATTCCTTTCCACCAGGCTCACTCTGTCCTCTCTAAGGAAAGGAGGGACAGCTTTTCTGGGAAGGGACATCACTTTTGCTGTCTTCATCGTGCAGGCAAACAGGGCCTACATAGCTGTATGAGCTGCACTTGGACCTCTCATGTGTCTTGGAGTCATTATGTGGGCTGGGGGTGAGCTGGTGAAGTTCATGGCCTTCCTGTTGGTTTCTAGGTTCACAGATATTGTCGTTACTGTTGTTGTTGCTCTTATAGTTGCTGCTGCTGCTTCTGCTACTGCTGTTTGGGGTTTTGTGTTTGCTTGATTTGGCAACACCCTGGACTGAACCCAGGGTTTTCACCCTAAGCTACATCTCCAGCCCTTTTTTTAATCTTCTGTTTTCAGAAAGTGTCTTTCTAAGTAGCTAAATTGCCAAGACTGGGCTCAATCTTGCAATCCTCCTGCCTCAGCATCCCAGAATACTGAACTTATGGCATGCACAACTTTAGCTGACTGGTCTCACTGTCTGACTGCTGGATTCTTATGAAGGTGTGACAGGATTGAAAATTAGCAGGTCACCTTCTCCTTTGCCCCCTAGAAGTCTTGGCATGCTCCTTCCCCCAGGTCCTGGCTACAGGTCTCTGTTGGCAAGCATTCATGTTGTCCTCAGTTAAAAGGCTTAACGTAGTCACTTCTGCATGATTACAACAGAATATTGCTCATACAATCTCTTCTATCAGCACATAAAATAGTGAATTAATATTGTCTTGGAAATGACCACTCAGTGCTTTACTGGGAAAAAATTTTTTTATTGTTTTTGGGAAAAAATTTTAAAAAGCCTAAGTTCCAGAAAATGCTCAATTGTGGGGATATAATGTACTCTCTCCATTCATGAAGTTTTCACTGCTAACTGAAAGAACTGAAGGAGAACAATAATAATAGTTGTTGTAAATGTGATCTTTTTAATAATAAAAGCTCTTATAAAGGCGAGAACATTGAAAGTCGGAAGATTCTAAAGGTTATAAACATCGCACTTAATTCTGTGCTTACTAAGGGCCAACTACTCACCTCCCCCCTCTGCCACCGGCAGCCTCCACCTGCTGTCTGTGTCTCTGCTTTTGCCTACTGTGCTCATTTGAGGGAAATGAAAGCGCTCAGTATGTGGCAGGAGTAAGCTCCTGTCATTTCATTGCCCCCCCATTGTTTTTCTGAGGTGGCCTTTCCCTTACAAGAAGGTTCACCCCCGGACACAGCTTCTAGGTTTCACCTCTTCTCAGTTCCTCAGTGTGATTGATCCAGCTCCCCCATCTCCACTCTGTGACTGCCTTCCCTTGGGGCAGCTAGATGCACTCAGGACTGTACACACTGCACTGGCCCCACCCACGCATAGACAGGGCCCATGCACCACAGGGACAGCCTCTCGCTCATGCCAGGACTGTGTGGACCACCATCCAGCTTGCTGTAGTCCACTAAGGAGAGCTCTGCAGAAATCCCATGTGGTGGGGCGGCCCCCAGGGTGTCTCTCTCCTGCTTGCTCCCCACTCTTAGTACCTGTGCTCCTTGAGCTCTCTCCCACACTGGCCCTGCAGGCATCTTGCGCTCTTCTCTCTAGGCTCTATGAGTAGTCACAGTTTTTACACCTTCACACGTAGCTGGAAGGGCCACTTCTGTATCTTCCTTATCAGACTTACATTCTTTCCTGGCTGGGTGTCTACATAGTGGACACTGTGGTGTGCAGAAACTGCATAAGGCAGATAAGAGCCAAGAAGACTTAGTCCATATAAACAGACTAGCTGTGAGAGGGATGGTGGGACACTTAAAGGTGAGGCTTATCACCAGGTTAAGGAACTGTCCCATGAAAGACACACTCTAAACCCTGAAACCTGATGAAAGTACTGCTCTTAAGAAAGAGACTGCAAAGCCAAATGAGGAAGAGGAACCTGACAGTGTCCTTTCATGCTGGTTTCCTTCATGTGACATGATGGGTTCAAGGTTCATTGACCTCATGGCATTATCGTATGTCATTCTTCATGGCTCAACAATATTCCCCTTGGGGACTCTGCTCTATTTTGCTTGTCCATTCATTAATGCTCAGCATGGGAGTAGTTTCCTGAATAGTGCACCAGTGAACATCTGAGGATTAATATCTGCATGAGCACAGGCTTTGAATTAATTGGAGCATCTATTGCAGTATGGAACGTCCCCAGGATTATGTGCTCAGGTGGGTCTCATATGGTAACTCTGATTTTGATTTATTGAGAGACCACCCGCCTTCTTTCTACTACAGCTCTACCATTTTATGTTCCTACCAGCAATGTGTTTGCGTTCTAATTCTTTAACATCCTCAACAACTCTTGTTATTTTCCTCTTTTTCTTTTGATTGCTTGTTTGCATTCAGTTCTGAGAGTTGAATTTATTAGCACTTTACCACTGAGCTATATCCCCACAAGTTTGTTTGATTGTTTGCTTGTTTGTTTGTTTGTTTTTGAGACAGGGTTTGCTAAATTGCCAGCCTGAAGTCAAACTAGTGGCTCCCCTGCCTCAGCCTTCTTCAGCCCAGGGATAACACCTCTGCACTATTCCACCTGGCTTAGTCTCCATTTTGTCATTACTACTGTCACCTTTGTGGGTGAAAAGAATGTCTTGATTCCTACTCACTATGCTGTTTTGGCTTGCTTTTTACATGTGTGATGCTGATGGGTTATTGTTTCGATGCTGCTTCATTTATTTCCCGTAGTGGGGGCTGAACCCTGAATCTCTTAAACACTCTACCACTGGGATGGACACTGCCCCATCCCATTTACTTTATTTAGAGGGCAGGTTACATGGCTGGCTTCCAACTTTCAATCTTCTTGCCTTAGCCCCTCAAGCAAGTAGAAGTACAAGGACGCACTACCTCATCAAGGTGCACTATGGTTTTGGTTTCTACAGCTATTGATGTTGAGCATATTGTTGTATCTTTGCAGTTCCTATGACTGTTCTTTGGAAAACATGAACTCAAGTTCTTTGCCAATCTTTAAATTTTGTTGATGAGTTGTAGGATGTTTCATGTATTCTGTACTTACATAGCAGCCATATGCCAAAATAGTTTCTCCCATCCTGGGAGTTGCGTTATCACTGTTGGCTATGTCCTAGGAAGCACAAAAACTTCATTTTGATAAAGTCCAACTTATTTCTTTGTATTATTGTTACCTGGCTGGTCAAATAGTTCAGCGGATTAAAGTACCTGCAAGCAGGCACAGGGGCCAGAGCTTCAATCCCAGGGGCCTGCTGTGACAGCCTTGGCCCTGAGGCATGCAGAGATAGCAACTGAGACTAGGTGTGGTGGCATACACCTGAAATCCCAGCACTCGGGAGGCTGTAAACAGGTGGATCACTACGAGTCCACTCTAGTAATGAGACCCTGAACACCTTGTAGACCCTTCCCTAAAATAAAAAAAGCAATGTATTATCATTGCCTATCAATTTGGCATCATATCTAAGAAAGCATCAAATGCAATGTTATGAATATTTTCCCCCACCCCTTCTTCCACAGCTCTATTGCTTTAGGCTTTACATCTCCATTTCTGGTCCCTCTTGAGTTAATCTTTGTATACAGTATAAGTTAGAACCCAGCCTCATGAGCATCTGGCTCACACTTTTTTCACACCATTTGTTGAAATGGCCTTAAAAGTCATTTCAGGGTAGTTATGGAATAAACTAGGTGACCTTTCAAAATCATTGCTTACAACCCCAATTCTGAATATGACATTATTTGTAGACAGCATAAAAGGTATCAGGGTTCAGCAAAGATGGAAGGGTGGAGCTTGACTTCCATAGAGCCGACATGAAGGAGGAAGCGACACCGGAGTCATCTGTGTTGATGAGCCAGGGAGGAAAGACCATGTGAGGATGCTGGAAGAAGGTGGCCATTGGCAGTCGAGGAAGCAGTTATAGGAATCATATTCACTTGGACATTTGACCTGGACTTCTGGGATCCACAGCTGTGAGGCAGGAGGTCCTTGTTATTTAGGTCAGTTAGCATGTGCCATGTTGTTTCAACAGCCCAAATGAATTGATAGAGTCCTATATTCTGGGTTTACTCCTAGAAGCACTTACGTGGGCCCATATCTCCATTTTCTTCCATGGGCTGTGGGTCTCTGTCACTTCCACATGGTCTTTAAGCAAGTGCAATACAGTTTTGATTACCAAAGTTCAGTTAAATCAAGAACTATGAGAAGTCCAAGTTTATTCTTTGTTTTCCGTATTGGTTTATCAATTTCAGATCCTTTAAGATTCCATATAAATTTTAGGATGAAAGTTTCTATTTCTGCAAAAATATGCTGCTGGGATTTGGCCAGGGCTTACATTTTAACTGTAGTCCATTGTGGGTGGTACTGTTTTTTTTGTAATATTAATTGTCTAACCTGTGAACAAGGGATGGTTTTCCATTAATAGCAGCCTTCTTTCTTTCAGCAAGACCTTTAGCTTTCAGGATCCGTGCTTCACGTACTTGAGAAGTTTATTCCTAGATAGTTATTCTTTTCTCAGATACTATTAAGGGGAGTGTTTCCTTAAGTTTCCTTTTGGATCATTCATAATTTGTGCATCAAAAGTAGCTTATAATGTTAGTTTTGATCTTTTGAATTTGCTTATTTTATTTAAGTTTCTGTGAAATATCCTTCAGCTTTTGTCCTTGTAACATGTTACAAGTGCTTGACTTGAAAACAAGTGAAAACAGCACTCTTAGCCTTGTTCTTGATCTTGGCCGAGAAAGTTTGAGTCTTCAACTACTGAGAATGACCATGGTGTAGATTTCTCAAATGTGTTTTTTAGCGCTGTGACAATATCACTTTCTATTAATCATCCTTTGGTATTTTTAATGAAGAGAACAGTGTTAAATTTTGTGAGCCACTCTTCTGCATAAATTGCAGCAAGCACAATTTTCTCCTTTCTGTTAATGTTATGTAACATTAATTGACTTTTAGGTGTTGAGCTGCCCTTTGTATGATACTCTCTATTTGCACACCATTTTTGAAATGACAAAATTACAGAGATGAAAAATGAAGATGTGGGTAGCAGTGGTCTGAATTCTAGGGGTGCTGAGGAAGAGGTTGCAGGTCTGATTACGAGCGGGTGGCAGTGATGTTGTGGTGCTGCAGTAGTTCTTATGTTTGTTGATCCAGGTGAAGGTTTTAGAGATTTACTCATCAGAGAAAGATGGCAGAGCGATATAACATGGTCTTCTACCCATTCTAAGTCCCTAGTGTGGGCACTATACTGTGGTGGTGTAAGTTACAATCATTAGGAGAAAGTGGGTGAAGGATATACTGAATCCATAAACTATCTTTACAACTTTCTGTGAGTCTATAAGCATTTCCAAGTAAAAAGTTTAAAAAAAAAAAACTGTTAAATTTTGTCCTTTTGGTGGCCTTCCTAATAAAATAGAAAACTCTTCCACAGCATACAGTAAGCTATAAGTGCTTTCAATATACAGGCCTGTTAATCCTCTCAAAGGCCACTTTGATGAGCATTGTTATTATCGCTATTTCATAAATGGACCTCAGAGCACACAGTAGTGCTGGAATGAGCATACAGAGAGAAGCAAGCTACATCCTTTATCCATGTGATTATTACAAATCCAGGGACTTTAAGGAAAATTGCAGCAAGTGTGGGATTTTCAGAATAATTCTAATATCAAAATTATTCTACTTGGCTCATTTTACTTTGGCTGTTCGTCACCTAACAAGATTTACTTTTGTTTTACAGTAAGAATGATGATGCTAATCAAGTCAAGGACTGCCTGGTTCAGCTGAAATGCCACTTTACATGGGAGCTAGCAATTGAAAAGGCTGAAATACCAGATTTAGAAAGCAGGGTCTTGGAAGAGATTGAATTCCTTGACACCAAGTACAATGTGGGAATTCACAACCTGCAGGCCTACGTGGAACACCTCAAGGGCCACAACGACAAAGCTCTAAAGAGCCTGGAAGATGCTGAGAGCCTGATCCAGAAAGAACATGCCGACCAGCCTGACACGAAAAGCCTGGTGACTTGGGGCAACTATGCCTGGGTGTGTTATCACCTGGGAAGGTTGGCAGATGCCAGGATGTACCTGGACAAGGTAGAGAGCACTTGCAAGAAACTGTCGAGTCCCTTCCGTTACCAGATGGCATGCCCTGAGGTGGACTGTGAGGAAGGATGGGCCTTGCTGAAGTGTGGAGGAAAGCATTATGAGCGGGCTTTAGCCTGCTTTGAAAGTGCCTTGGAAATGGCGCCTGAAAACCCTGAGTTCAACACCGGGCATGCCATCACTGCCTATCGCCTAGAGAACTCTAACAGGTACAAGCATGAGAGATGGTCTTCCCTGGACTCCCTGCGAAAGGCTGTGAGGCTGAATCCTGAAGATGCATACATCAAGGTCCTCCTTGCCCTGAGACTTCAGGATGTGGGGCAGGAGATGGAAGGGAAGAATTACATCGAGGAAGCTCTGAACCTCAAATCCTCCCAGATGTACATCTTTCGCTATGTAGCCATGTTTTATCGAAAAGCAGGCTGCATGGATAAGGCTATTGAGCTCCTTCAAAAGGCCTTGCAGGCAATGCCCAACTCTGCTGTCCTGAACCATCAGATAGGGCTTTGCTACAAAGAGAAACTAATGCAAATAAAGGTAGCCACCAACATGCAGCCTGCAGGCCGGGATAGAGAGGAGATGGACAGATATGCAAAACTAGCCGTAGTGCATTATAAACTTACTCTGAAACAAAAGCCCACATTTCATATTGCTCTTCTACACCTGGCGCTTGTTTATATTGAAGTAGGGAAGTATGAAGAAGCTGAGGCCAATTTTAAGAAGTTGTTTTCCATGACACCCATTGAGGAAAGCATGCTACAAAAAGCACATTACTACTATGGCACATTTCAGGTATATCAAAAGAAGTCGAACGCGGATGCCATTAAGCATTATTTAAAAGCAACACAAATAGGAAAGCCATCATGTATAAGAGACAAAAGTATTAATTCTTTGAAGAAATTGGCTTTAAGGAAACTTCAGAGAAATGAATTTGACAAGGAAGCCCTGAGCCTCCTGGAGTATGTTCACAAACTGGAAGGGGAAGCGCAGGCAGCTGGGGACACCACGAGCAGGCCTGAGCCTGGCTCCGCACTCCCAGACGAGAATGCCACGGGAAGCGATGCCAACCACCTTCACTTTTCATTTGCTTTTCCATGAATTTTTATTCTGTTTGATGATTTTAGAAGCATGCGTTATGTAGTTCAGTGCATTTCTCAGACCTGGCGAGGCATCATTAGCTGTATTCAGAAAATAGTGAAACAGAACGTGTGTGCACCTCAGCGGCAGGAATTGACCATTTAGGTGACTGCTACAGAGGAGAAAAAGGCTTGCTGAGCACATCTGTAGCAAATATAAATCTAGATTTATATACACCAAGGTGTTTCATTCTTCTGTTTATCAAGCATTCACAGGGCTTTATAAATAAATACCAAATAAGATGAATGGGAATCATGTTACTCAAACTTCATGCAGTTTATAATCTAGTGAGAGAGAGAGAGAGAATTAAACATGTACTAAGCAGAAGTCAGATTTCTCCATGAGGATGTTTCAACTTTAATTCATTGTCAAACTGTTCCAAGCCCACTGTAGTTGCTTTTAGCTTACGCCATTTCGTTTGAAGCACTATTTAAATCATTTGCTGATATTGATCCAATTAAAAAATAAATGTGCAAAGCATGTGAAATGATCTGAGGACAGACCTCACTAATGCAAAATAAACTTCTGGATGATGTTATGTGTTGTGTGAGGAATCTTCTTAGTTACTCTTTTCTCATTGCTGGGACAAAACACCCAATCCATCAAATTAAAGGAGGAAAGATTTATTTAGCTCACAGTTTGTGGAGGTTTCAGTCCAAAATCATCTATGTCCAAGGAAGAGTAGCATACGTCAGAGGGTAGTAGTTCATAGAGGCAAAAAAAGCCACAAGAGAAGGACAAGCCTGCTTCTGCCCTTTACTGTGTTTGCAGGCTACCTCTCTGAGGGCAGGCATAGCACTCGCCCCTATTCCCAGCATTGGAGCATGAATCACCCACAAACTCTAGATTCAGCCGCCTCTGTAAAGTCCAACCCCATGACTGCATGAGGCTTTGGGGAGACATCTGGACACAACCATGACAGGAATGCCTCAACCTCTAGGGAATACGATTTAGTTAGCAGCACATCTCTTTTGCATCCTTCCCAATTCAAGAAGAGACCTGTGCTCTACTCAGGGCTCAAAAATATGGCAGTGTAGCATAGTGTGGGTGATTTCAAGCAAAACAACTAGTAGGAAAATTTAGTCCATAGATGCTCTTTCATTTTAATAATATTGCCAAATTTATACAAGAGTATCTTCAAGCATTACCAAGAAGTTTCTTTAAGTTAGTGGTTAAATTGTAGAAGCTTGATATTCCCATGTAAATGACTGAGAGATTTGTGAATAAGATCTTTCTTTAGACTGACCCTTCAGTCAAGCTGACTATAGCCCCTCCCACTCATTATTGTCATCAGAGCCCCCAGCCATGCCTTTGCTGACTGCTCTGCAGACACCACTGCTGTCTACAGCCTCTTGTGGACTACTATGACCCCCAAGGTCTCCGTCTCATGATGCAGCTATAGCTGGATCCGCACTGGGAATCAAGATATCTACTCTCCTGCCTGCTCCAGCCGCAGTTACCTACTTCATTAGTCCATTTTCTGTTACTATAACAAAATACTTGTGTATTTGCCTATATTACATTCTGCTTATAATAAAAAGAGTTCCAGACCCAGTCCTAGCCCAGGTCCGGTGAGTGTGTGGGAGAGCTTCCTGCTACCCTGCGACTGTGGGACGAGTCCCAGCCCAGGCTCAGCGTGGGCCAGACCCTCTCCCACCCCCTTGGGACTCCCGCCACCACTCCGTAGCACCTCTCCCACCCCGCCCGCTGAGTAGGAATTTCTGCCATATTCAGGGAACCTCCTGACCCAGACCCAGTGAGTGTGAGGGAGAGCTTCCTCTCCCCCTTCCTCTCCTCCCACTCCACCTTGCCCCCTCCAGGCACAGCTCAGGCCTGGCATGCAAGCCTGGGTGTAACCCTGCAGCTGCAATCCCTGCA